AAAAAAAAAAAAAAAGGTGATTTCAGAGAATTAAGGCTAAGTTGTTTTGACATGATTGTGTTTATTTTCAACTAACATTAAATGTGTCATCATGGAAGATCAAATCGAACAAAAGTGCCTGTACTTAACAAAACAAAGATATTTTTTCCTGAATTATTTCCGGTGGTCACACTCAAGACTTCCAAAAGGCAGTTGCTCAACTTCCCAATGACTGCTTAAAATGGTTTTAAAGCCAACTTTCTAGATCGAAATAAAGACATCATCTAGCATAAACCTTCATGCCACAAACTGGGTAAGTAAGCAAGAAATATTTAATTAAGAAAATTGGGAGCCACATTAATGACAAATAGTATTTTACTTTTCACCTGAAATTTAACTAAGATGGGCACTTGGAAGTGTACTGAAAACACCAAAGGATAAAATTAAAGGCATAAATGTGTTTTAATATGAAAATTATATTCTAGGGTGATTTTGCTATAAGAAGACATCACATAGGCGTTCTGATTTAAAATATTCTGAACCAAGTAAGGCAGGTACAGTTGATAAACATTAGTTTCACGAGGGTAGCTGCTTTTCCCAAGCCTCCGCTCGCTTAATCTTGCACAGGTACCCCAAGTGTCTTTGAAAGAGAACGGGGAGCTCATCTTCGGGTCTCAGGGAGTATTTGGGTTCCTCCCAGGGCAAGGAATGCACAGCTTCCCGGTCGGAAGCCCCCGGGAAGCCGCGCTGTCCCCTCGGTCCCAGACCTACAGTTGCCCGGTAGCGAAAGCTGCAGGTCGGACTGAGCATGCGCGCCGCGGCCCCGCCGCCCTCCCCCCGCCGCCGCCGCCGCCTCCGAGGGCCATACTCACCGAGGCCGCGCCAGCCCAGCTCGCCGTCGCAGCTGTCCAGGACCGCGCAGAGCTCGCCCAGCAGCGCGGGCGGCATGTCGAACAGGAATGTGTGCGCCGTGAGCGCGCCGCGAACCCCGCAGCTCCGCGCCGCCGCCGTCCAGGCCATGGCTCGGCCGCCGGAGACCAGGGGCCAGTCGGAGGGATGCGGAGCCCGGGCCTCGCCGCGCCCGTGAGGTGCGATTACACAACCGCGGAAATCCTGCTTCCACGACGGCGGCCAAGGCAGCAGAACTTGCCGAGCCCCACAAGGGGCGGGCCCCGCATGACGCAAAGCGCTGCTCGGCAGCGATGCCCCGGCGGACGCCCGGCCTGGCCGCGGGGTCTCCCTGCCTCTGCGCGGCCCCTCTCACAGGCTTTACGTTTTGAACAGTTCTTTTCGTTGCTCTGGGTCTGCGACGCGACTGGAGAGACAAAGCAGGGAGCGAGAGCTGGGCAAAGACAAGGAGGGCAGAACTAACCGAGGGGAGTCTACTACCCCTTCTGCCTGCCCTGGCATGGGCTGTCTCCTGGCCTGGACGGACAGAACACCTGCCATTACTTCTTTTAAAATGCATTTTGCTTTACCCTGCCAGAAAGCAATGTTTATTGAGGAACAGTTGGAAAACCCAGAAAAACTTAAAGAAGAAAATAATCACTCAGCTGAAGACAACCATTCAAGAGGTTTGGCACATCTTCCAACTTTTCCTGAAGTTGAACAGATAAATGTGCATATATGAAGTGATTGTTGGGAAAGACAAAAACAACAACAACAAAATACCAACAACAGGAAAACAAAAGAGAGAACAAAGCAAAAGAAAGTTGTGCTCATTTTCTTCATGAGGCTGCCCATTCTCCATATTGCTACTTAGTTTTACTACATTCTTTTCTCCCTGGGCTTTCTTGATAAAACACCGTTCCACTACTTTTTCCTTCTTCAAAGTGTTTGACAGAATCGTTTGCTTTCAACATGGAGTTTAAATAAAATTGACTATTGTTTTTGAAATATTCTATCGTATATGCTGTAATATCCCATCATAGGCATGATACAAATGCTACTGATAAAAAAAGGAGATGCTTTGAAAGTGCTGAGAAAAACCCAACCTTAATGACTGTAGAGTGTGGACAATTGCCACCAACCGAAGAATAGCAACCCTATTTGAAACCTTTCAGATTTGTACTCTTTGGCAAGGGTGCCTCTTAGAGACCAACATTTGATGATACACTATCATTTTGCACCCCTACCCCTACCTGAATTTCCAGGTTGTTCTCAGCTAAAGTATACTACAAAATACACTCGAAAATTAATAAAGACAATACTTTTTGGGCAAAGGTTTCTATATCCCTTTGTTCAAATAGCTAAAATTTTATTGTCGATCTGAACACACTTAAGAAGCCCTACACCTCTCAAAGGGACTACCTGAATATACTGAGCAACAGAGGCAGGATACAAGTATTTGACAGCTATTGAGTTGGTGAATTGGTAGAACAGGGGATCCAAACTTCAACTCTCCTACGTAGAGGAACCAGGAATCACTGTCGCTGAGTCAAACAGTCAACGTGGCCTGCTTTTCCAGATCTTCTGATTTACAGAGAAGCAAGAATTGTATGTGAAAGCCAGATTATGTGAAATCTATATGGATTATGTGAAATGTATTTTCAACGTTGGCAGTTAGTATCAGACCATGCTCCCTCCCTATTCCTTAAAACTGCCTTTGACTTTTGAATTTTAAACCATCCGGTTATATCACTCACTGCTCTTCACTGTCGCTGTCATCCACTGCTCTCCCCCATCTTAATTCTTCCCTCTCGGGAAGACTTTAGACTATATATATAGCTCCTGCTCACTGCAATTTTCTCCAATACTAATCCTATCTTAATCTTTGGTGATTTGAAATATTTGTTTCAAATGATGATCTTTCCAATACCCTGTCCTCCCAGTTCTTTGGCTCATCCTCTCCTCCAGTAATCTTATTTTCCACCCTACTTAAGCCAGTCACTCCCATGATCATTCCCTAGAACTTGTCATTATCAATAACCACGCCTTCTGTAATTTCTATTTCATGAATCCACTCTAACCACACCTCCTGTCCTTCTAGGGCATTCCCTCTAGTACTCTGACCCCAACAATCCTTCCCCCTCACCAGGATACCAAATCGAAAATCTTGCCACCTCTTCTCTGGCCCCACCCTCTTGATGTCCTTACTTTTCTCTTTATCCATAAAGTCCACGCTCAATTTTTACAATCCCTCTCTTGTATATACTTTCCATTCTCTTGCTCCTCTCTGGCTTTGTTGAGCTCTCTTAACAAATCTACCATCCTGATTAGATGCAATTTTCTAATTTTGGGCTCTGCACCCGTGTACCAGAATGTAGCTGGGGGTAGGGTGGAGAATAAAAACCTGTTGATTGGACTCAATTTAAAATCAAAATCATGACTTTCAAATGGGTCCTTTATACTGCCAGGCTGTCGCACTGTGGGCCTTTATCCCATTTACTCTGCTGGTCCCCTTTACAACTGTTTTATGCCTTCTCTTTTCTCAACTCCCATTACCCTCTCCTCCATCCTTGTGCTCAGCTAATGATCTTGAGAATATTTATTAAGAGTACTGATGTATCAGAAAAACAAAAACAAAAACAAAACTTCCACAGAATCTCAGCATCACCATCTATCTACCTACCAGCATCTTAACAGACATACCTGCCCTCCCTCCTTTTCCATAGGTCAATTGTGTAGGCTCCTATCTAAATCTGCTCCCTTCACCTGGGCACTAGATCTGATCTCCTTCCTGCCTCCTACTCAAAGACATCAAGGACAGTTGTTTTCACTCTCAGCTACATCATCAATTTCTCACTCTTTACCATATCAATTCCATTGGCATACAAATACGATGTTATTTTTTCTACCTTAAAATGAACCAAGAAACAATTTGATGCTATCCGCCCCTTTGATGCCATAATTACCCCCATTTCTTTGCTCCTTTTCATAGTAGAGTTGAATATTCTCACTGTCTCCCAACATTTCTCCTGTTATCTTCTCTTAAACCAACTCTAGAGCCATCCCTCCTACCTTACTCCACTTGAAACAGCTCTCAGAGTCATCTATGTCCTCATCATTGCTGAATATAACAGTCAATTTTCAGGTCTCATCTTATTTGACTCATCAGTAGTTTTTGATACAGGTGATCACCACCCCCCTCCTTCTTGGACACTTTCTTTGTCTTCCAAATTCTCTTACATTTTAGCTTACTTCACTGGTCACTCTTCAGCCTCCCTTGCTGTCCCTTCTCTTCTCCCTTAATGTTGGGTTCAGTTCATAGTTCTACGTACACCCATTCCCTTGGTGATCTCAACCAGTTTCGAGGCTTTAAATCCCATCCACCTACCAAGGACTGCCAAATGTATATGGTTAGCCCAGACCTTTCCCTTGAACTTCAGACTCATGTCCAAAATTGAACCCTTGATGCTGAACCTGCCCTTCGACATTCTTCCCCATCCAGCTCACTCTATCCTTCCAGTTGCTTGAACCAAAAACTATAGAGTCAAGCCTGACTCTTCCATTTCTTCACAGCCCATGTTCAACCCACCAGCAAACCCTGTCGACTCCATTCAAAATATATTTAGAATCGGGGCGCCTGGGTGACTCAGTTGGTTAAGCGACTGCCTTCGGCTCAGGTCATGATCCTGGAGTCCCGGGATCGAGTCCCGCATCGGGCTCCCTGCTCGGCAGGGAGTCTGCTTCTCCCTCTGACCCAACTCCCTCTCATGCTCTCTGTCTCTCATTCTCTCTCTCTCAAATAAATAAATAAAATCTTTTTTAAAAAAAAATATATATATATATTTAGAATCATACTTTTCTCCTCCTCCACTACTGCCACCCCGGTTTGAGCCATCATCATATCTTGCCTGGTTTACTACAGTTGTCTTCTAACTAAAGTAGCTTCCACTGTTGCTTCCTATAGACTTTCCTCAACACTGCAGCCAGATTCATCCTTTTAAATCAAATCTGATTATGTCTTTCATTTGTTTAGAAGCCAACAATGGCTTCTAATTTCAGTCAGAGTAAAAGTCAAACTGTACGATCTGCATTTGCTCTCCCCCCTCCCACTCTGCTGTTACCCTCTGATCTTGTTTCCTTGTTCATTCTGCATAACCACACTGCCTCCTCGCTGGTCCTTGAACACACCAGGCAGAGTCCCACATTAAAGCCTTTGCACTTGCTATTCCGTTGCCTGGTATACTCTTCCCATCTTGCTACAGTCTACCCTGACCTCCATATTTAAAATTGCAGTGGTCCATGCACTCAGACTCAGGCTGGCACGTGACTGGAACTGGCAATAATATATGGCTTGGGGACCAAATCTCATTCAAATTTCTCCTTCTCTCTGAATCTAAATAGGAACGTGCAGCAGCTCTGGTCATCTCTAGAACAATTTTGCAACCACATGGATATAAATACTAGAATGAAATGAGCCTTGGGGATGTCTCGTGAGAGAGAACACCAGATCCTTCATAATGGCATTAAGCAGCTCTTTTGTTCTATACCTGGAGAATGTCCTGTTTGTGGACTTAGAATTATATCACACAAATTCCTAAGTCAGTTTTTAAACTAGGAATCTTGTAATTTGCAGCCAAATGCATCCTAATGGGTACACCAAACAGATATTTGGTGATAGTTCCTGGTTTGTTGATGGCCTATAAAACTATGGGAAGGAAACTAACCTCTGTCCAAAACTGGAGTTCAATTCTATACAGCTGTATCTCTGGAATGTCAGATGGGCATGGAAACTGCACTGTAGAGAGAGACAGCTGGGTCCTGGGAGAAAATAAGTGTTAGTAGAGAATGGTTCTGGCAGCATGGTTGGAAGCAGAATGAACTTCTAGATGCGCATGAGATTGCACTAAAAGTCCACAGACCCAGACCTGCACTGCACCCCATGCACCCACTCCCAGCATACATGCTTCTGGCAAAGACATGGCTGTGATTAACCCTCACACTCTTTCACTATGTTTTTTGCCATGGGACACTAATTCCACTCCCCTCCCACTCCTGCCCCAAATTTCAGATCCTAGAAAAAGAAAGTTTCCATTCCAGCTGGAGGCAAGAGAGTGAGTAATGAACTGCAAAGAACCACAAATGGAGATGCCGAGGGAACGCTGCAGGCTGCAGCA